CACATTTCATTAAAAACGACAGACAGGGTGCTTTTATTTAGTTTTTTATACAATTTCTCATGCGATCTAATTATTTTCTTTTCGGATGATAAATTATATAAAAACTGTCCGAATGTTCTTTTTATCCGAGTGCTTTCGCCTATACATTTAGCCATTTTCAAGGATTATATTTTAACTGTTAAAATTAGAAATAGTTTGTTATATGTATGTTTTATAAAATGTTTTCATTTTTTTGTTTCAAAACATGGTCAAGATATTATGTCCATGTTCAAAGTTAATATTATTAAGTGTTGGTTTGTTTGTTTTTATTAATAAGGCTTCCATTATTTTTAGCCTTTTTTTGCATGTGGATGATGCTATTATATTAGTATTGTCAACAAGTATGTTCCCAAATAGTGTCTGGTAGGTCACCATGAATATATAAATGAGATCTAATTTAGCTATTGTCAGAAAGGTGTAGAGTTAGTCTGCGTGTTAAACATGTTGTAGTGTGGTCTATATAATTATTTATGAAAGTTGATTGTTGAGGAATACAATTCCTTAATGGGCATTTGAATTCATAAATAATATTTGCCCTATTTAATTTTGTTCTAGGTGAATTATTATTTTTAACTTAGAGGTTTTAAATTTTTTATAATAAATAATTAATCTCATTTTTTTTCTATTGTCAACTGGTGTCATACATTTTTTTTATAATGTTCTTAATTCTGCATTCATCCTGTTTATAATTTTTGTTCATCTGATTTTTATAAAAAATATTATTATTGTTTACATTTCTATTCTCGCCATTGCTAGACAAGAAACACCTAATGTAGAAATCCAACAATTGATTAGGAAATCTGTTATTAATCAGCGTTTGCTTTATATTTTTTAATTCTTTAAAGAAAAGCGTGTGACAGGATGAGTTCTTGTGTGCTCTCGCGAGGAAATTTTTAACAACACCTATTTTATATCTAAGAGGGCATTCACTAGAGAAATTAAGATGGCAAGAGTCTTTACTAGTTGTTTTTTTATAAACAGAAGTTTTAAAAGTATTATTACTAAAATCAACGAGAACATCTAAGGAAGTTTATTTTTTTTCACTAAGTTCATAAGTAAAATTTAGGACGGAATTTTGTTGAAATGTAGCTTTTAGATTTTCTATTTCTTTCTTGTTTTCAACCAAAATAAAAAATATTGTCAACATAACAAACATATATTTTAGGTTTAATAACTTTAGTAAAAACCTTGTTTTCAACATAGGACATGTAATAATTGGAGAAGCACTGCCCGAGAGGGTTTCCCATACTTACTCCATCAGTTTGTGTGTAAATAGTACCATTCTGGCTATAAAAATGAACTCTAGTGGTGCAAGCAAGCAATAGTTTTCTTAAAATATTGGTTTGGATTGATGGAGGTGGAATTAAATTATTTTTATACACCTAATTAATGATAATATCAATAGTTTCGGAGACAGGAACATTAGTAAATAAATTCTCTACATCAAGTGATGCAAGAATGCTGTGGTTTGTTTTTAATTTTGTGCTTTTAAGTATTTGGAGGAATTCATGGGTAGATTTAATGCTATAGTTAGTAGGGAGATATGGGGTAATAATATCATTGAGAAATTTTGATAGTTGGTATATGCATGTTGAAATCTGAGAAATAATAGGCCGTAATGGGTATCCCGGTTTGTGTATTTTAACATTACCATATAAGTAGCCAGGTTGGTAATCTCCAATAAAGTGGATAAAGGCATTGGTTAGATCCAGTGACAGGACCCAAAGAGTGTGAGTTCAATACCCGGTTAACGCAGTGGAGAACTTTCAGAGGGAAATTAACAGGAGATAACTGATAACTGACATCCATTAAACATGGCACGTGGAACTAGAACAGTCTACCCCAGTGAGCAGAATAATGGGTTAAATTTGACATTCCAACCAACTGAAGAAGGCCAAAGCGTACCACAGCCAAAATGTTGTAATAAATATGGCGACAAAGATGAGGACAATAGTCCGAATAATGTAAATAATACCTCATCTCAGAAATATAGACACACACACACATATATATATATATATATATATATATACACACACACACACAAATATTTCTCCGAGTAGTCCATTGATAAAACAAAAATTCCTCGCATATGATGGAGGCAGGAAGAGAATATCATGACTTGATAATACTGGTATAGTTTAATTGCTCCGCAGATGGTCATTGGTGCATTGCAGCTCCACTTACTGAACTTAGAATAAGGAAAATTTTGCCATTCATTCTGAACAGTTAACATTAGTTCCACTTAAAATTTATAAAATTTTTCTCTTAAAACAACTTTTCAGGAAAACAGTTTTCAAGTTCATTATTATTGCTCTTTCTAGTATTGAAGAGGGGTGGAGGTTCCACCCTAACCTTTTGTTAAAGGTAATGTGGAAAGCATCTTGATTATATCATTATTTTTTCTTCACATTACATGTGCTATCCATTTTAGTTGTTGCTGCTATTGTAAGTTTTCAAGTGATGTTTCTGTTATTTGGTAAAGTTCTTTGCTATTCTCTAGTGCTAGTCTATGAGATCTGATGAAGGATAATCTTCAAGGCATACAGGTTTCATTCACTTGAATTCATTTTTAATCATGGATCTGAGAAAATGGTTGTATATAGCTAGTAATTTAGACATTACTGAACATCTGTATGAGAGTCTAGATCTGCCAAGGCTATTTAAGAATGTATCTTGAGTTCTTAAGTTAATCTGAATTCTAAATTTTTATGCCCAGTTCAGGGTAGATGCCATCATTGCTTTTCCTCCAATTTCAGATAATAGCATCCTACAAGAATACTTTTTTATCATTAGCAGATTCCTCTGGGATTTAATATGGAATGTTTAAATGCTTAATGCCTATTTCTTCACATATGTCCTTGTATGTGAAGAGAGCAGGAAAATTAACAATATCACCAATTGATTTGGTGCTATAATTTAATATAAGCAAAATACCACTGAGTACTTGTTAGTAGGTGTACTTGCATAACAATTACCTATACTAGACCCCTAGCAAAAATTATGGAATGGCATTTTAGATACTCACCCAAGTTATTTTTTTTTAAGCTTTACTTTTAATAAACAAATCATAGATAGGACAGTTTTTGTTTTCCTTTCCTCATGCTTTTGTGATGTCCTGAATTCTTTGATGCATGGACTTCGCTAGGGGGGGGGCAGTATTCTCCATGCTGGTTCCAACTTTCTTCCAAATAGCAGTTGACAGAACAGCTTTACAGGATAAAGACCCCACACCTTTTTTTTCTCTCTATTATAAATTTTTTAGGTTATAAGAACAAGGAGACATGGTGGAGTAATGGATAGCGGCTCTGATTGAGGAAACAGAGCTGAATTCGAATTCCAGTCAAATCCATTACATTCACTTATTTGGGAAGGGTATAAATCCTCCTCTTCTTCCTTCCCAGCTAGGGGTAAATAGCAGGACAGACCAGGTTCTATAGCCTTTGATGGCAACTGGTCTACCGCAGAAAGAAATGGCAATGTACTGCGAGAAAAAAAATCTGCTTCGGCAGTCGTGTATCGAAAGATCGCCTAAGCGTGTATCACGCATGGCTCATAGGCTTTTCCTGATCCAAAGATGCTTCATCTTTAAAAAAATAATAATATGCCATGTTCATCATCAAACCTATTTTTTATTTTTGGGAAGAGAAAAATATCTAAAATTTCAAAGTATACCTGTGTATTAACTATTTCCATGGCCCTTTACCAACCAATTTTTTTTTTTTTTTTTAAGGCAGCCCATTTAGGTTTCATTGTAATGGCACCAGACAAAAGTTCCAATATTATGAAATGGACAAAGTCCGACAATTATTTTAAGACATTTTTATGTTTAACATAAATGATCAAATCCTGTTGGAGGATGAATATTTTCTGTGAAAATTTCTTGGACATTCAGGCCGGTAAACGTTGTTTAATACTGTTTATTATAAACAGAGCATTTACTTAAATATTTGTATCTATAAAAAGAATGTTGAACATAAAAATGTCTTAAAATAAAAGTTCCAATGTAAATATGTGATTTATCACTGAATGTCACTTCTAATCCTCTACATACCATGATTGCTTCCTTTTTTGCTCACAACTTTAAGATATTATTAGCATTGTCTTTTCTTTAATTTTTTTTTTTTTTATGTAAATCCCGTTTTTGTACAAACCTATTATTTATCTGATTCCTTTAATCTATCAAAAACATTGACTCCTATTTTATATTCACTTTTTTTCTTTTGTTGTATATTTTTCTACGCATATATATTTTCAACTCCTATTACTTTAACTTTTCTATCTATCCTGACATGGTAATAGTCTACTTGCATGTTTTCCTTTTATAATCTTCCTATTTTGTTTTACACTAGTACAAAAATTTGACAGCTCTTTTGTTGAACCCATGTTTATTTTCAATTAGCCAAATACAACAGCTCATTATGGTCTGCAAAATCTCTTAACTGCCAACTAACTTGCATATTTAGATTTTTGCTGGTATTTATTTTTGAAATTCAAATTACAAGATGATTCTATAGTTTGTGGGGGTATCTAAAAAGAATGTATGCCATTTAACTTAAATAATTTAATCTAATTTTTATGTATATTTCATATAGAATGTTCAGCTATTATTATTATTATTAAACAAAAAAAATGCTATATCTATGATTTGTTTATTTTTTGTAAAAGTTCTTTTAAAAAGAAAAAAAAAATGCTATGTGAAGAGCCTCAAATGTGGTAATTTCATAATATTTTACCAGAGATTGTAGTTGTAACTGTACTGTATTTGGGTGTGCCCTTTTCTGCCATGAAAGAGTATTGATAGGTAACAGAATGACAATAAATACTGATGGAGAGACAGTCCAGTATATGTTGGGGAAGGGAGTGTTAGCAATGAAAGTTTTTGAAACTGAACCAATCAAACAAACATTTGATTTTTTTTTTTTTTTTTTTTTTTTTTTTTTTTTTGTTTTATTTTTCAGGAATGGGGACATGGAAACTGTGGAACTGTCTGATGAAACAGTTAATCCAGGTCAACATAAAGTTGGACCTCAAGATTTCCAGCTGTTGCGAGTCCTTGGCAAAGGAGGTTATGGAAAGGTGTGTCTGCAACACTTCCTATACATTATAAGAATAAAACAAAGAAAAACTTGTTCAGTCTCCCAAATCACCATAATTTTGTAGCATTCAAATATAGAAAGAAAAAAGTCAGAAGAAAAAATTGGTTTACTATTCATGGGTTCCTATACCCAATGCAGTTATACAAAAATATGAAGGTTTTGTTATCAAATTGTTTCCATAAGTGTTTTGGCACAGAAAATTTTTTAACTGTTGTTGCATGCCTATGGACGATAATGGGTATGTCCCCATTCAAATAAATACAGTAGTAAATACTGTATGTTGGTCTGCAGTTAGAGATTTATCTCCAGCTGTGCTGGTCAAACTCTCTGCCTCTGGACAGAAAGGATCCCCAGATAAGGCTATGTCGAAGGGCAGTCTCATCTCGCAAATTAGCTACCTGACCCCATTTTATACAAGGTCTATGGGGAATTTTTGGCTGAGCCTATTGGCTCGGATACCCCACATTAAGTTCAGACTTGTGCCACATTGGACCATATAGGGTGGTTGGTAGATATTCTGCAGTTGGAGATTCATTGTGGAATTTACTTGAATCACTTCTAGTAATTGACTACTTCTTCTGTGTGCCGCTGGCGAATCTTATATGTGTTGTTCTTGTCCTAAGTATTATTGTTCATTACCAACCTTCATTTGATTATTCTTTTCAGTAACCTTCCCTAGGTTACAACATTAACAATTCATGTAACAGTTATATTATATATATTTATAAGTATTTGCATTATTCAAACTATTATCCTCATTTTTATTGTCCTATTCACAATGTTTCAGATCAAAAATTCCTACATCTATCACTTGAAGAAGGCTGGAGTGTACATAAGCCAAGTCATTATGAATATGATAATTAAAATGAGGAAAACCATGTAAATAATTACAGTACCTCATCTCGGAAATATAGACAAACATTTATAAGTATTAGGTTGACGCAAACATACTTGTGGTTTTTGCTAGTTTAAACTATATTTATTTTTTAATAAACTCTTCATGTAATCTACCATCTTAAATCCTGAGTTTCATTATTGATTTTAGTCTGATGGTTTTATTTTCACTGTTTATTGCTATTTATTTTTGCTTGTCACAATAAAGATGGAAAGAAAAAAAGAAGCAAATTTCAAGTTTATTGTAAGAGTTCAAAAGTTAAACATAAGGCAGTAAAAGCATTACAATATCAATAAGCATTTGATCAGGGGAGCTGTTAACAAATGTATGGCTCTATATTGGTTCCAAAACTTTTGTAACAGATGAGCATTGAATATCAGAAGGGTTATATAGGAATAAAGTGTCACTGCTGACACTTGAGTTTGAACATAGATCACCAGTGAGCAAACACAAGCGATCCCATTATTGAATTAAGTAGACCAAATGACCACAGAGGAAACTCATATATGTAGGAAGTAGCTAACAACTAATGATTGCTGTTTCTAGTCTATCCTCTATTACTATTTGAACCATTCTTCTCTACTCTGTTCACTATACTATTTCTTTATTCAGATCACTATACAGTTTACTATTCAAGCAAGTACTATTAGTGTGAGATTATTCAAAGGCATCTGACACCAGTATTGTTCAATGGCATACTATAGTTGTATCTGTGATTGCAAAGTCTCTACTATAACAAGCATTATGAAAGTGACGAGTATATGTTGACATCATAAAAGTGGCAACAAGTATTCATTGACCTCACAAAAGGTTGTACATATCTTCCTTTTGGAAATAAACTCCTGTAAAACAACTCAAAAGTGTGTGGAACTAAATGCTTGACCCTTTAACAGTTCTTTGACATTTGAACCAAATTGAAAATAAAAAAAAAATGTGCTGAATGAAAAGAAATCAAAAGAACTGCCATTAAGTATGCTCTGCATTTTTCTGTACAACAAAATCCATTTTGTATCAAGATATATGATGAAAAACAGTCTCTATACAATTGACTGACAGTAGCAGAATTATTGTGAGGCACAAAAGTTCTTGCCAAAGCCAAAGCTGCATATAAAGATTTGGTGGTCAGCAAGTGGAATCATCTGCTATGGTTTGAATCCTGGCAAAAACATCACAGTATAGAAATATTACTTGGCGATCAACAATAGGTACCATGGACTGCAAGGTTCCCATCCAACATTGGTCAATCAAAAAAAACTAGTTCATCATGACAATGTCCAAGAGCATGTCTTGCAAATGACTCTTCAGAAATCAAATGAATAAGGCTAATAAACTTTACCTCACTGTTTTTACTCATCAAAATCCTCTTCCAAGATGTGCTGACTGAAGTCTTGTTTTGTTCACATTAATAGTTACACATGAGCATACAAGATTCAGTGTTGCATGCATCACCAAAATCTTAATATTTTATCTATCAACAGAATAAGAAAAATAGTTGATTAATTAAGCTATTTTTACATTTTCTTTCAAACAATAACCTGATCAGTAAATACTTTCCCTGTTAATAATAGCAGCCTGAATAAATGTCATATCTGAGAATTTTTAATCAGTATACATTAGTAAAAACCTGTAAAAATTGCACAAAATGTAATCCGAGAATAAACAGTAACTCTTATACTTTAGTGATAACATTTCAGTTTTATACAGTGGCTTATCCTTGCAAAAATTGTGCATGTCTTTCTGTTTGTCTTTGTACAAGTTTTTCTGTACATTTTTCAGTGTCTATCCTGTGAAAAAAGCGAAAGTTAAATTTTAGACTTTATTTATCATCAGTAGATATCAGTTTTTCCCTCAGTAGTCATTAATGGATCTATGAGAAGCAAAGTAGCTTATAACATTTGAGCCAATGTGTTTTGCGATAGATTTTTTGTTTGTTTAATCACCATGATGATAACATTGTAAATACATAAGCCGCTATTTAAAACAATAAATGACTTATCTTTGTTTTTTGTCTTATTAAAATTTCATGTGTAACTTTTTGCTTTTATATTGCAAAGATGCCTTGTGAAATCTTCATGAGTCCTGCTAGTTATTACTTTTGGCAGTAAATAAGTTTAAGTATCTAAATTTTTAGAAAAATACAATAAAATACATGCATAATCGTGTTTTGTTAAAGCAGGACTGGGATTAATCATGCACAAAGCAAGGTGGTTCCTCCTGCATGACAAAGGATTTGTCGTAATGATTTAAGGCATGGCTTATACAAAGCTGGATGCTTTTCCTGACATCCAACTCGGACACTCAAAGTATACTGAGTGTTTTTATCAAGATTCCATCTCTATGCCATTCAAGGCTTGGGGTCCTATATATATATATATATATATATATATATATATATATATATATATATATATATATATATATATATAAAATTGTCCAGACATTTATATCCAAGCACTTTCAGCTATCCTATTAGCCATTATCAAGAATGTCTTTTATTTTTTTTATTTTTAACTGCATCTATAGATTTTTTTTATGTTTCTACAGTGATGGGAATGTTTTATTTTTTATTTTCCAAACATGGTCAGCACATTGTGTCCATGTTGATGTTATTAAATGTTGGATTTTTCTTTTTTATTATTAATGCTTCCATTATTTTTATTTTATTTTTTTTACATGTGATTGAGGCAAAGTATGTTGCAGATAAAGTTTGGTAGATTTCTGTATGTGTTTAAATGAGTCCTAATTGACCTATGGTCAGACTGGTGCAACATGAGTCTTCTTCATAGGCATGTAGTGGTATGTCCAATATAATTTGGTTTTGATCAGAAGCATGTGAATTCATAAATATTATTGGTTCTCTGTAATTTAGATCTTGCAGGTGTGTTGTTAAGGTTAACTGTTTTAATTTTTTTATGGTAGATAATTTAATTTTCTTGTTCTGGGCAACTGTGGCTATTTAATTCTTTAAAATGTTGCTAAGGAAATTCATCTTGCTTATAGTTAACATATATTTGACTTTTATAGAAAATGTTAATGTTATCTGTATGGTTAGTGTTGCTATTGATTACCTTGAAAAGAAAGTTTAATTTGGTGAGTAATGAGGAAGTTTGAAAAACCGTTATTAACTAGTGTCTATTTCACATTGTAGAGTTCTTTAAGAAAATGGGATGAAAAGATGAATTCTCGTGTGCTCTCGAGGAATTTTTTTTTTTTAATAATGTCTATTTTATATCTAAGTGGACATTTGCTCCTAAAATTAAGGTGGCAAGAGTTTCTACTACTGGGTTTATTGTATAACAAAATAGTAAATGTGTTACTAAATTCTACTAGAACATCTAAGAATGGGAGTTTATTTGGGTTTTTTTTTTTTCTGTTTCTTGGGGGTTTTTTGTCTTTTTACTAAGTTTATAGGTATAATGACAGTTTTTTTTTTTTTTTCAAATATTGTTTTGAGATTATCAATTTCTTTTTTGTTTTTAGCTAAAATAAAAATAATCTCAAAACCATATTTACAACATACTTGTAGAAAATACAAGTATAATATCCTCGTCCACATGTAAACAAAAGGCTAAAAATAATGGAAGCACTAATAATAAAAAAAGAAAAAGCCAGCACTCAATAACATCAACTTTGAGCACGGCTATTCAATGTGCTGACTATGTTTGGAAAATAAAATATTTCCATCACTCTAGAAACATAAAAATCTACACATTCAGTTAAAAATTAAAAAAAAACATCCTTGATAATGGCTAATAGAATATCCTAAAGTGCTTGGATATGCAGAACATTTTGACAATTTTTAATTTTACACACTTTATGTACAGAAAAGAAAACTCTTATACAAAAAAAAAATTTGAAAAAAAAAAAGGAAAAAAAGCACAATCAAAGTACTTTGTCATTTGTCTTTTAGTGAAGTGTGTGTGTGTGTCTAGGAGAAGGAGAACTCTGAATTCAAAACCTGCGTAGGGAAGCTGGTTTAGACACCAACCACCCGACCCATCCATGTGGCAGGTTCTACTGGGTTACATGTTACCAATAGCACATGTTACCAATAGCCTGACCTAAATAAATAAAAATCAAATGAGAAAAAAAATTAATCACTACCAATAGTCCTTAAGCAGCTTTTGCTTATTTGTAAACTAAAGAGCATTTTTCTCCATAATTACACTATTTTATTTTTCCCCTCCAGGTGTTTCAAGTTCGAAAAGTATCAGGAGATGACAAAGGACAGATCTTTGCAATGAAAGTATTGAAAAAGGTGACTTTTTTTATTTTCTGGTATCATACTTAGCATTATCTTTTCTTCATTTTTCAGCTGCCTTAATGAAATTCTGATTTTTTTTTTTTTTTTTTTTTTACCCTTGTTCATAAAGCTTTACTTAAAATATAAAGTCAGATTAAAAGAAAAAAGATATAAAGTATGTAAATATGTCTCAGATTATTCTCTGATAAAGATAAATTTTTTAATTCAGTTCTTGTCACAATATGCAAGAATGGCCATCAATAAATTATATATATAATAGTCATCCACAGACACTGTTTTCTCTATCACCGCTCTTCAGTGTAGCTAGACATCCAATTGTTTCATGCCAGGATCAAAACTCAACCAATTTGGCATCAGTCAGAGACTCTACCCCTAAGCTATCGGCACATGGCAGGGAAGGGGGATTTTTCACATATTATATATGTGATATATATAAACATCAAATCAGCAGCCAGAACGCTCAATTCATAACTGAAGAGCCATGCATAAATAACAGGATCAGCCACTGTTAACAATTGCCTTTCTCCATAGTGCTCAATTGGCAAATGAGGGCATAGTCATCCACAGACTGTTTTGCTATATCACAGCTCATCAGTGTGGCTAGATATCAGATTGCTTCAAGCTGGGATCGAAACTCAACCAATTTGGCATCAGTCAAAGTCTCTACCCCTAAGCTAATGGTGCACAGCAGAGAAAGGGAGATATATATATATATATATATATATAAAAACAAACCTCTAGTTAGCTATATTGTGTATATATTTGTGAAGTAAAAAAGCCTCTAGTTAGCTATATTGTGTATATATTTGTGAAGTAAAAAAGCCTCTAGTTAGCTATATTGTGTATATATTTGTGAAGTCCTTTAAAATTCCAAATTCTATTTATACATTTATACAATAGAACACTTGTATTATGAAGCTGTAGAATGGATCAGCCCAAATATTGAAATATTGTAACAATATTGCTAACTCAACAGAGTTCAATTGAAGCCTTCAGTAGGCACTTAAATAGTTTCAATTCATCCTTAGGCAAGGTGGTATACTTGCCAGTTTTTCTCTGACATGCGATGAAATGATAACCTAAAATCTTGAATATTTAAAATAATAATAAAAATAATGATAAATCAATGTTTGATTAAAAACTGAAAATTGCTTTTGACCATTATATAAGAATCGCCATATTCTAAAACTATTTTCACATTCAAATCAAAACAATAATATAATTTTGCTAATCTAACCAGAACTGATTAATTCTTTGGGTTTCTGGTGATAATTTAATATTAATATTGTACCTTCTCACAGCCTGAATGAGTGATTATTTGAAAATGCCTTCTATGCACAGAAAGCATAATTTGAAGAAATACCATCACTAATTTGCAGTAATCTTGATATGGAAGGAAAATAAATTTTTTTAATAAATGATTGTATGTTACTAGTAAAAATTGAAATAACACATGCAAAATCAAGTGTTTCATGAAGTGTTGAGGATCAGACTCATTCCTCAGTAGTAATTATCAACCAGACTAGCTTGCTAACTATTATCCCATGTTCAGAATTGTCCTAGTTACTTTTCTGTTATCTGTTATGTTTTATTTGTTTCACTATTGTTTCTAAAAAGTCTAACAGGTTATGAGCCTTGTATATATAATAACTCAGATAGTAGAAGAAGGTAGTAATAATCAGCTGTCATTCCTCATCATGGTAGAGGGCTTACTTGACCCAGTAATCCCAAGAGCAAAACCATCTGGAGTTCCAACAGCTCTAGGGCCACCCATAGCAGTAAGGTCGAAGGGGAAGGACCGGAATGAACACAATCAAACCCTGAAGACCCCAATGGTGGAAAAGACAAAGATCTACACACTCTTAACAGCCAGGCAGAAGAGAGCAGCACCAGTCAGGCTGGTGTAACCAAGGTGGATCTTAACAGACCAGACATCTGACAGCCCAATGCAACCAGGTTTGCCAGATGTCACCTATCTCAATCCCCTTTTAAGATTTGATGGATGCAATACATAGTTTGAACGAAAATATTTAATATTGGTCTGTTCAAATGTTAATTTGGTGCACAAAAAAATCACAGGTGGAAATAAGAGTATTATGCCTTTTTATTCAAGTATGAAAATATGAATACAATTTTAAATTAATGAAATTTTTTAAATATAGAATTATCACTGGATTATTTTTTTTGTCAATCTTCTACAAAGCTAATTGGTCAATGTGGCTTTTCATTAATATAAATTTTTTTAATGACACTTAATTTTTAAATAATTTAAAATTTTTTTAATGACACTTAATGTGTCATTAAAAAAAATTTATATTAATGAAAAGCCACATTGACCAATTTGCTTTGTAGAAGATTGACAACAAAAAAAAATAATCCAGTGATAATTCTAAATTTAAAAATATAACCAAAAGTTTTTAAAATGTTGATGTTTTGTGTAGAAATTTTTACCACATTCAGTTATATAACTCTACAAGAAAGAATACCTAATATTTTCAGAATCAATTTTATATTTTTGTCATTGATTTGGTCCCAAAATTTGAATAGTTTTTGCAAAAACATTTATTTACTGAAGTAATTGCACATGTCTTAACTATATTTTCATTGTTCAAAGCAGAAAAGTATTTGAGTTGTGAGCAGTCAGGTGTAAAGTTCTTGTATTCTATGAATTTTTCAATGCTAAGTTAATGTCAAAGGCACAAATAGAGAAAGCCACTATAGTTTGATTTAGCTGAATTAAAAATGGCATCCACTGAGTTTGATAAAATAACTGAGAATAGATTTGATCTCCACTTTTCTATTGCTGCCAGTTGTCATGATAGAGGTGGCTGTCTGTCAGTTGGTACCTTGTTCAGTCTTTTGTCTCGTCTTTGTTGAATTGGAATCATATTTCTTCTTGATGCAAATGAGAAGGTAAAGAGTATGTGCATACTTTGTACAACCCTAAAGCACTTCTGTCTGTTTTTTTTTTTTTTTTTTTGTCAGTCACATTTGGAGGCAGGGGATACATCTGAAGGTATGCCAAATAAAGCATGGGCCCAAAGGAATATCAGATAATGTTTCAACTGAAACAGTGGGTAAAATTAAAATGAAGCTTACAAGAATGAGGACAAGGAAATGGGACCTTAGCAAATACACAGTGAGAGCTTATTCAGAGGCCCACTTTCACAAGAAAGCACCTGAAAACTATCGGCAAACATGCAATGAATCTGAAGATTAACCTTTTCAATAGTTTGAAACTGATAAGTCTAATTGCAGTACTTTTATAGTAAGAAGTTAATAAGAAACTGACCTTTCATACATGAAAGCTTGAAAATGTCACTGTAGTTCCAGTATTTCTCAACTTGAGAAATCTAATTGCCAGTTGACAACTTTATTGGCCAAATACACAGAAGCAAATGTGCAACCATAAGCACAAGTGCAATGGCCGAGAAGTCAGTCTTAACATTTACAAAAAGAAGTGGAAAGTAAAAAGCAGAAAAGACTGACAAGACAATTACAAAATTACACATTTAAATTAAGGGAATCATAGCTGCTAAGAAAAACAAAATGTAGGCAGCTTTCTGCTCAAAGACTGAAATAAATTGAAGATATAAAGTTTCTAAGCAATGGGTTGAAAAGTTGGAACAGAGCATGCCAACATTCTGAGTTAGAAATGAAATTACTTGTCATTAAACATGCTCTATAACATAATATTTGAAGTTTTTTAATAACATGTGAAACTAAGTTTAGGGATATGTAAAATGCTTGGAAAGTCTTTAAGTATCTGTCAAGATATTGCAAGGAAATTCATGTATTCATTTATACAATATTTCTTTTCTTTAATTGTATCTAAAACTGCTATGGCCTCAGTTGTTACAGTTCAAATTTTCCTTTACTGACAACAGTTGATTTATTTTTCCAGCTTAAGATAAATATTTGAAATTTAGTAAAAACAGTAGATTGTAATCATTTTACATGACTAAAGTCCAGATATCTTCAAACATCAATTCAGTAATATCAGATGAATATTTTTTTTAACTGTTCATCGAATTAAAGGCTTAAAAGCTGCACATGATAGAGGGTTACTGAATGAGGTTGCTGTATGGACCTAAGAGGAGAAAGAAGAAGATATGAGACTATGTAAGATAGATAACAGTAGACCCTAGACTTGAAGAGGTTAAAATTGTAATGATTAGGGAAGCATGTTCTACAAAGTAGGGGTTCTTAGAAAGAAGTAAAACTTCCTTCTTGACAGTGAAATACAAAGGAAATCAGGATGATTCAATCTTGTGTTCGTACAGGTCCTAGCTGTAAAGGTCTGAACTGGTGGAACTAAAGAATGTAGCTTGTCTGAACATTTGCTATGGAAATAGTGATAGTAGCAATAGGTTTGCAATGTTTCATCAGTTGTGAAAAGGGTTGTAGTGTTCAAAATAATCCATCACCAACAAGGTAACTGTATAAATACTTTTGAACTTTGTCAAGGATGAAAAGTGGAGACTAAGACATGGCAGCAATATTCCATTTTCGGTCTGATCTGACTCTTGTAAAGATAAAGTGTAGCAGGAGTCAGATACATTCTGGAGTGGCACATGAACTATTTTTTCCATTATTGTGCTAAGATCAAGGAAAACTGTAGTGGAGGTTGGGGATTTAATATTTCTATGATTAATTACATTTTATTCCGAAATTTATCCATTTAAGAATTAATATGTCTAAGTTTCTTCAGCATGCCTGCAATAAATTCAGCTATACTAAATCTTATTTTAGTTTATGTAGTTTCTCCACAAAATATTTAACCAGAGGGAATGGAATTATAAAAGAACAAAATTTGAATTTACCAAAGATAAAAATAGAGGTTTTGGAATTTAAACATATGTGATCTTCCTATTTCCATTAAAGAGAGAACTGACACGTATACAAAAATGATTACAACAATGAAATATTCATTGTGTGTGAGAATGTGCATTCATAGTGACTTCTAGGATGATGACATATTTAATACTCCTGCTACTTGTGTTATTTTGATGTGCTGTTATATGCAA